GATTCGTTGACGAGAAATGTCAAAACTGGTTCCCACTTGTGCATATCATGAACAAAACACATATATGAAGGCTTATTAATGCAGGTTCGCCACGCCAACTGTACAAATATATAGGTGCAACTTATATACCAACCTTTTTGTGAAAACACCCGTTTGTAGGGGAGTGGGGCTTGTACAGCAGAGTGACTTGTAGACTGAAAGATATTGTAACTCAAAACATTACACTATGTGATGCCCATTCAATGAATCCTGTAAATGATTCTTGGAAGCACCAAACGCTACAGGGGAACGTGGCACAGCAACATGTTTGCACTTCAACAAATTTGCTACTGATGCTTTTAAAGTATGGGGATACTACCAAATGTTGCCACACTGAGGTTGAAACTAAGTTAATAGAAGCATCAGAAATGCCTCAATTAAAAAAAAAACTAGCATATGTTCCCAAATTGCTTCCATCATCTGGCCTTCTTCACATCAAGAAAAGCAGTCTTTCATACAATAGTTTTCATTTAGAACAATGCAGATAAGATCACTGGTATGTCGTAAGAGCCAAGTCATCACTAAAATAACATGAGGGTTGCTTTTAAAACACTTGCCCCTATTTTCTTGGAAACTACAACAGATACAAGCAGTGGTACAACACTTCTTCATGCTGCGCACTGTCAAATACAACACTCCATTTTTCTGAATAGTCCAAATCATTGGCTGTGCATTTTCGCCAGCGATGAACAAGAGTCTTCATGCCATACTGGAAAAAGTCTGTACAAACGTAGGTGACCGACTGCTTCACAGGATACGTGCTAGGAAAATGTTCCGAACGCAGTCCATTTTTCATTTGCCCAAAGAGATAAAAATTAGAAGCTGTCAAAAACAGGCTGTATGGTGGGTGCAGTAGGACAGTCCAGCACAGGGGTGGATACAGGTATTCCCCAAGGGGGGAGTCAGCATATGAGATATTGGGGGCCCCTCTCCCCCCCCCCCCCCCCCCTCCCTTATTTCCCACCCTACAATTGTACACACGCGGAATTCAAGAGGGAGGTCAGGACATCCAGAGCTGCCCTCTGAATTTGCCACTGGTCCAGTCAAGAATGGCAATGTGCTGCACTATCCTCAAATTAGTATAGAAACTGGCGTTATTGTGTTGCGAGAGAAAGGTGTCTCATTTCTCTGGCCAGACTCTGGAAATTTGGGCATTTACCTTAATCAAAGTTGCGATAAAGCATACTCCCCTAAAGTTTTCTAGTCGTAATATACCAATTTATGCATTAATGCTGGTCGAGACGCCCCTCATTTTCCGGCGCAGCAGCTGTGCATGACTGTCTTGAACATGGCTTGTTTGTCACATCACTGTTGCCAGCCCTAAAATGTGCCACACACCTCACTGTCCTTATATACGTTAACAAGTCCGGTCTCAGGGCGCCGCCATCTTGCTTAGTGGGGTGCGCTCTTGGGCACAGCCATAATCCGATTACGCCTTAGCAAGGCTTCGTAATCGGATTAGGACGCGTCCAAGCGCACCCCAGCCAAGCAACATGGCAGCGCCCTAAGCCGGACTTGCAAATGCGTATATCAACTGCTTGATTTCCATAAATGTTTCACAAGCATTTACGAGTGTTAATGGGTGCAATATTTTCTACATGCAGAAATTCAATTGTACACCACAAGCATAAGACTGCAAGCTGGGAGATATTAGGAAGCTTTGCAACAATTTCAGTGCTTTGCTTAAATAATTTGGGAGTTGTTGTCTCTACCTTTCTGAAGTAAAAATAAAAAAATACGCTTTTGCCTACATGCCCTAGTTTTTCATTTCAAAAACTGACAAAGATTGAGGTTTTCAGCACCTCTCAACGCCTTCGCCATTCTCCAAGTCACATGCGCTGCGACGTCAATGGGGGATCCGCGGGCTTCCAGTGAAGCTCTCTCTCTAGAGCCATCAGTGAGCAGCAAGAACTCCCCTGCTCGCGACCACGTGACCGCGTGCTTGAGCAGCGCGATCAACATGGCGAGAGGAGGAAAGTCTCGTCCGGGTCCAGACATCCCCGTCCGGATCTGCCCCCGTCCCCCTCCAGCTTCTGGCGGCTGTTCGCGGTAGCAGATAGAGTCAACGGTTCTGTTGACTTCGGATGGATGGCGCCACTTAAACTCCATATAAAAGTTTTGCTGATGATACCAGGTTTTTGACAAATTTATATTTATGTTGGAACGACAAGATTTACAGAAAAGTTACCTTTTATCGAGCAGGTATTTGCACAAGTTCATTTCTATCTTTTTAGAAGTCTCCCATTGATGTCGCGCCGCGTGGTTCTCATGGCTGCCGCTCGCGGCTGCAGGTCGGGAAATACTCTCATTTTTGCCTCGCGATTACGTGGCGGAATCGCAACATTTGAGAAGGAAGGAGATGTGTTTTCTTTTCCTTGTGATAAGGGGGACCGAAAGTTTGTTTGAATTAAACGGAATTCAAACAAGTTTTCGGTCCCCCTTGAGTTTGAATGAACGAGACCCGACTGTATATAGACGTCTAGACAGTGGAAAGTCAATTTTGCTTGAAATGATGCCCGACGTCTTTGCTGTAGATGAGCCAATGAGCCAATGCAGTACGACTGTCAAACTGGGGTCTTTGACATGCATCGCGCAGTAGCGATTCCATGACTGCCCACCAGTACGATGCTCATCCAGGTCGAAACGGGCAGGGTCATGATCAAACCTAGGAATTACCACATCTATATTTTATCTCACTAGCTGTGCACAGTGATGTCAGAGGTACAGGGGTGATAGTGTAATAAACTGCTAAAAAGGAGGGGAGAAAAGAATTCTCTTCTTCGCCAGGCTTTCTTTCACATATCCGAAACGTCGCTTCTGTGCCCATTGGAGATTAGCATGCCACTCAAAATTCATAAAAAAGGGCTCCTTTACTTCCCAATTGTGGCTTCTACACTACTGCACGGAACGCCTCAGATAAGAGTTTAGATCTTCTGTCACTTAAACACAACAAAAGACTGCATCACATAAAACGATCCACGATGAACAAATTTCTCAACATGAAATTGTTGCTTGGCAACGGTCATTGCCAACTTCCGACATGCAACAACTAGAAAGTATGTTTCCTTCGGAACAATGTGTTTGAGAAAATTCTATATTAGCCAGTAAGCGAGTTAATGGTAGGACCTAAGCCTCAAAAGTCGCCTTCAAAGTGAGAAAAAAAAATGTTATGGCCACACGATACTAGTTAACAAAAATTAAATGCATCTTAACCCATTCGCCTCCAAAGCTGGCAATCCACCGGCCACTTCCGCCAAGGCCAAAGTGTGAGAAGCCAGCAGATCGCCGTTCTCCAGAAAATGCATTGTTTTTATAAAGCCCCAGTAGAAGGTGCTTCCCTGGACACGGGGTTCTGGTTGTTTCGTCTTTTCCACACCAGTAGACATAATCATCCACTACTTTTGAACTTTGGTTGTTTAGAAAAAGAAAACAAAGTTTGCAGCTTTGTTTCCTCTGTCGATTTGTTCGCTGCATCTGAAACATGGTGTCGCGAAAGAAAACGCTCACATGTGAGGAAATTCTCGAGCTGGTGTTCGAAAGTGATGACGAAAGTGACTGTGGCAACAATCCAGAAGCTATATTTGGATCAAGAAAGTAGCGACGATGAGAGTGACGGTGAGAGCGGCGGTGATTGTGAAGGAGATGTATGTGTATCACAAGACACTTGTATTTCCTCTCCACCACCAACAAAGAAGCCGAGACATCAAGACTGGCAGTGGGCGGAAGAAGACGGTTCAGAGAATGTCATCAAACTTTTGTTTAGTGGAAGTCCAGGTGTCAAGTGAGCCATCCAACTGAAATGGGGTGAAAGTCCCAGTCCTTTGGGCATGTTCAACACTCTCCTCGAAGACGATTTTTGGGACATGATTGCAAGGCACGTCAACGCTCATGCAAGGGACAAGCAGTCTTCCAAGCCGGGCTCTACATGGCATGACGCAACACCACAGGGAGATGCAAGCCTACTTCGCGCTCTGTGCACTAATGATCGAAGTAAAGAAGAGCAGTATCCAGGCATATCGGTCAAAAAGAAGTGTCATCAGCTCATCAAGTTTTGTGACGGTGATGCCCAGATAACATTTCTGGGCACACTCCCGATATCTACATCTCTCTGACAACAACCTTCCAGCAAGTGATAACAAGCTGAGAAGGCTACGGTCTGTACTGGATTACATCATCGAGTCCATTGGCACTGCCTACTCTCCGAAAAAAGGTCTCGCTGTGGATGAAAGTTTGATGAAAATTCCTGGTCGTCTCTCACACGTCCAGCTTAACCTCTCAAAACGAGCCCGTTTTGGCATGAAATTCTACAAGCTATGTGAATCTGCCAGCAGCTACTGTCTGAAGTTCTCTGTCTACATAGGAAAAAGTAAACAAACTCCTGCTACCATTGGAATGTTGTGCAGTGAAGCCGTCGTCATCAACCTTGTCGGCGATTGTCTCGCAGACGGCCACACAATCTACATGGACAATTGGTACCCCTTGCCACTCCTGTTCCTGCACATACACCAAGCAGGATCAAACGCTGTGGGTACTGTTAGGGTACACCATAAGAACATGTCCAAGGAGGTAAAAAATATCAAGCTGAAAAAAAGGCGAGTGCAAGACCTTCTCGCAAGGCGTTATGGCACTGACATAACAGGAAAAGAAGCCTTTCAACCTGCTCTCAACGTGTCACACCACAGCCAATGTGACTGAAACCGGCAAGTCCCTTTCACACCCTTTCAAAGTCACAACGAGTCGCTCACTGTAGATGAGAAATTTAACCAGTGCAGTACAACCACTAGCCTGGGGTCTTTAACGTGCACCACTCAGTAGTGATACACGATCGCACGCCGGTACAATGCTCATCCAGATCGAAACGGGCAGGGGTGGGGATTGAGCCCAGGATCCCTGGGTTCTGCAGTGCGAGCTTTCGCTCCACATGCTTCGAGCTGGTGTGAGCTAGCCCACTCGGCCACCGACTCCCCCCATTAAACTTTATAAGAGCACAAGGTCAGTGGTCCCGAGGAGATTTCACTTAAGTTTCCTTTGAAATCTAGAACTAATGACAAAATGGGTTTGCCATTTAGCACGTCAAGGTTCCTTCAGGACAATGGGTGATGGTACCCAGACCTTATTTATTTTGTTCATGAATTTTATGTATTTTTTCTTATTTTACAGAGTAAAATAAACTTTGAATTTCAAAGAATTGAGAATGTAACAAAAATAAACTCTGATAATCCCCGAATGCCCAGCGAAAAATAAACTCCGAAAAACACCTTCCGCATTTCACGAGAAATAATCTCCAAAAACACGGAATCCTACCTATAACACATTCCGAGTTCAAATGGGGCGATTTTAGTAATGGCTTACACAACATCTTAACCGACATCCCGAATTCTCTAAACAGGGAATCTTTTTTTAAAAATAAGAGTCGCCCCCATCCTTGGACCAGTCTTCGACACAACTCAAGAACATGCATCCACTCCGAGGGGTCGTCTTCCTACCCCCTCTTCCCAAAGGCAACGTCGGTAAAAGGTTACGTCTGACCGAGCAACCTCACATGAACATTCCCCCGGTGACTTCCAACACGGAACCTGTCACATAGGAGCTCCTTGGCGAACAGAGGAACAGGACAGCCTCAGCCACTTCCTCCGGCGTTCCTTTTCGTCCCAGGGGAATGCAGGGTAACAACTTGGCCATGACCCTTTCTGGCACCTGGGCCACCATGGGAGTGTCGATGAAGCCAGGCATGACCGCATTGCAGCGGATGTTGTGCCTCGCAAGTTCGAGGGCAACCGTCTTGGTGAATCCCACGACTCCCGCCTTGGAGGCGGCGTAGTTGCTCTGGCCCATGTTGCCGGTCTTGCCGACGATGCTCGAGAGGTTTACGATGGATCCCTCCCGGACATTCTGCGACACCATCTCGCGTGCGGCGGCCTGCGTCACCAGATAGGTGCCCTGCGAGGATGAAATGTCGGTGAGACCGAAGCATGAATGGCAGAAAACAGGGGTGAAACTCATGAAAGACATGGGAGCAGCTGAAACAGCTGTTTTGGAGTAAGTTAGAAGCAGCTAAAACTACATTCTGGAGCAGGCTAGGAGCAGCTCAGATCAGTTTTCACTGCACTTCAGCTTATGTCTTCGACAAGCACGGGAGCAATTTCAATTGTGCTTAGCAGCACAGACGAACATGAGTGGTAAGAGACCTAGGTAGATGGAATAACAGTGCAACAGATGTGAAAACTTGAAACTTTGTGAGCCTTAACGAGAACCAAAAACCAAGTGCCACATGTTTCTAAACCATATGTTCCTTGATATTTTCTGAGTGGCTTTCAGCGAGTCAAAATGCAAACCAGTACTCCTTATCGCACAATCCACACGTGCTCGACATAGTAATTACATGTGCGAACCACGTGACGCGTGTAAGCAACGGACGTGCAGTTGCGCGGAGGAACAGGGCAACAAATTTCGAGTTTATCCTATAGTGCCACTCAATATCGAAGCAGCAGACTACGATTAACGAAGCTATCGTATTCAAAGTGATAAGCAGGAGCAAGGTTAAAGTACGCTGAGCAGATCTACCGCTCGTGTGAGCGCTGCTGGCCGGCAAGGTCTCGGATCGGACCGCATATCAGTTCTATCAAATCACAATTCACCTTGCGGGAATGCGGCACCAACTTCTAACGATGAAGTTCTAAAAGGAATCTTTTGCTCATTTTTTTTCAACTAGCTGACGTCCGGATCCCAGGCTGCAGAGCCCCAGGCAATCTGACGCTTAACGACTCGACCTCACCTCGGCCGACTTTCTTAAAGGGCAACTCCGGCCAAAACTAGAAATGAAATGGATTACTGGTATCGCTGTAGTGACACAAAATACGACCCCAGCCAAAATATTGCGTCCGTGGGACGCCGCATTCTCAACTAATGCCGATAATAAAAATGTGACCCGCCGCGAGCCGCTGCTCCTTAGCGGGCGGCCAGCGGGTTGCCGATCGCTAAAGCAACGTTGGGCCGTAACATCAGTTTCGTTCCCTTTTTTTTTTTTTTTTTTCCTTTTTTTTTTTTCCTCCGGTCCAGGCGTTGTGCAGAGTGCACTTTGAGCCATTACCACCGCTTCTTCGGCTTACAATGGGCGTGTTTGGCCGTTGCTTTTATCTGTAGCCAGTGCAGCTTCGGTATAGCCTTTTGTTTATTTGCTTGTAAGGACCCCAAGAATCGTTTTAGCGAGCAACTCGGAGTGCCTAAGACTGCCCAGCTGTTCCTCGAAAGATGCTGAGTGCAACTTGTAGCGCCGTGGGCTGCTCAAACAGCCCGCTGCACAACACAGAGGTGCTTTTCCACGAGTTTCCAACGCGCCAGAAATTGGAAAAGGTGTGGGTGAACGCTGTTCAACAAGTGGACCTTAGACTTCGGCTTTTACGTGCCCGAGGAAAAAAAGAACAAAAAAAACAGACATGTACAGCCCAGCACACGTGTGTTCAGGCACCGCCCCCCCGCCGGAGAGCCTCAAAGCTTTGTGTCTTAAACTGACCCGCAGCGCGAAAGCGAGAGGGCCCCCAGTACAGTAAGTCACAGGTAGCGCGGCGTGGAGCAACGCCGCTCCATCCACGGAGCCCCGATGATAATTTAGGCCCAGCGACGATTATGGAAGACCGCACACACGGCGACAGCAGCTGAGTACGGCACCGAACGAGTTCACTCGTTTTCCAGTCGCTAGCTTTTAGCGCACGGCGGCGGCCGCCGAGTACAACACCATACGAGTCATTTGGTTTTCCAGTCGCTAGCTTTTGGGTATGCGCACTAACTCTTGCTACATATGCTGGATAACTACCACGTATACAAAATGAATACAAATCCAGCTTACCTCCTGTCATTAGATGGCTAGTGCAACAGAGGTAGGCGCCGCTCGGCCTGCGTACTCGTTGGACGAGAACGATACTGACGTCACGTTCACATAGCGGCTGATTTCCAGTGTTGCCGGAGCCTCGAGCGGCTAGTTTCGGTTTTGATGGCCGCGCCCCAAACAAAACTTTGAGGCGTCGATACTGTTAAAACTATGCACAATAACGAGAAAAAAATTACACCCTGCAATTCAGGGACACCGACTGCACTAAAAACAGTCATAATCCCAAAATCGAAAGTATGGACCGGAGTTGCCCTTTAATCACTTATGGTTGAAGAATAACAATCCAGTCGCAGGTGGTGTAGCGCTTCGAATCCGACCCCCGAATTTTTTCGTGCGCTTCCGACTTGGAATACACGGGGAGAATAAACAGAACAAAGGATTACAAGGCCGACCAAGCTAAACGCGCTCATTGTTGCCATTTGAGTCGATAGAAACCGAAATCAACACAAAAACAATATTTTTGCCGCACGTTTTGCGATTTGGTGCATAATGGCGCAAGGTATTGGCTGTGGCGCAGTTTCCGCAACATGGCGCAGGATAGCGCAGACAAATGCGCCTAGCGCAAAATGGCACAGCTGTTCTACCCCTGAGAAAAGACACATCAAACACTGTTTTGTCCTGTGCATGGCACAGGTGAAGGAGAGGAACAAATAAGGCAAGGTGTGAGGGAGTGATCACATGTACGACAAAGCTCCACCCCCCACACCCGCTTTCCGATCCAAAGCACGCATCATCTTAAACGTGGGTCCACCGTTTCTTGAAATGTGTCTGGTAGTTGTTAGTCGACAAAAAACAATGTACCCTTTGATATATTTCTTCTTCCTGTTCTCACAGGCTAAGTAGTTGGTGGAAAAAAAATAGAAGATTTAACAACAACCATAGGAGAGGTAAAACAACCGTGGGCCAGAACTAGCAGACGATGCCTTCGTTCAGCGCCTGACCCTGAGGTCACTGCTCCCTCAGCTGGAAGAGCAGACGACTATTTTGCTTGCTCTGATTGGATGGAGACAGTGGGTAGAGACAAAGGCAGCTAGCCTTTGTGTCAACTCACTATCGTTCAAATCAGAGCTCAGGATTTGATGTCCCCAAACCCTCTGCACAAGAAGCAGATGAGCCGGCATGTTCTCCGTATATATGAATATTTCATCTAATCCTTGTTACTGAGTATCTTTTTTTATAGTGTTGAAAGCGTTTCAACTTGCCTCATTTTTTTCGCTTTGAGTGGACCTTACTAGCCTTCATGCACGTCCATTTGTTTATTTTTATCTGACACCTCTAATATTGTACAAAGCTACAAAGATGCATCAGTTTTCGATGAGAATGTGGGTATAACCAATGTGACCAGAAATATACCTTCTAGGACTGGGCGTCAATTAAAAAGTTGAACCCTATTAATTGACACCCTTTAATCAATTAATTGGTTTCATTCATTTATATGCGTGTTGTTTTTAAGAAGAGTGAATTAAAAGTTTTGCCTTTGCTGAATAAGTGAAAATATGGTGCTGAGTACGATTTCGGATTTAAATCAACCTTGATGTGTAGTTGAGAACAGTTGGAGACAACCACACTCACAAATTATTACTTCAGCCAAAGAGGCAAAAAGGTTTGTTGATATTCTCCAGCATTAGCGGACTCCTTTGATTGTTCACAATGGTCTCTGCTGCGATAAATGGGTATTCGTGCAGCGTCAAAGTAACTGGGACAAGCATAACCTTCTTCAATTGTTTGGAGCTAAAAATCTCGCCCCTACATTTTACTTTAGGTCAGAATGTCACATAAAGTTGGCCTTCACACAGGTGTACTCGCCCATGTCTGAATGGTGAAAGCATTCAATTTTGACTTTTTTGTTTGTCATATTTTACTGATTTGCCAGCTTAAAAAGAATAATTGTAATTAAAGCCTTAAAGGGGCCCTGCAAGGACTTTTTTACTGGTTTTTAATTTGCACCGAACGTGAGCGCACTGACCGTAGTAACTTAATGAAACTTTCCTTTTCTCGAATATCGCTTTATTTTAAAAGTTCTAGGCAAATTAAAATTACAAAAACCAGCAAAAAATAACCTCCTTTACAACGTCCTTGGTTGCTTGAGTGGCTGTGAACTAGAGGAGCAGTAGTGAGTTCAGCGAGCGCTCACGGCTCCCACACTCCGTGTCGACAGCGCGAGAGGGCGCCACTAAAGCATGTTCTGGATAGGCTGTATGCAGCAGGCAGCCAGAGTGGCTCTCATTGCATTTGCTGTGCGATTAAACACTAATTCGGCATGACACTTCATTAGCCACAAACGACAGCAAACACGGGGTAAAGATCAGTTCAGAATGGGAGCCACTTTGCGCTGCCATACCACGAAACGGCCAAACCGCAAGACAAAGCTGCTCGCCGAAGGCCTTGGGAACGCTCGGAGCCAGTCAGATCCTCCAGTCGATACGACCGCAGGGCCACCTGATCCTACTACTTCTTTCTAGTATGCGCTGCTTTTTCCATCGCTTGGTGGCGGGTAAGTCGACAGGTCATTTCTTGTTTCCGTACTTTTTAAACTGCATTTGTTTCTTTTCTGATCTAAAATACTGAACAAAAACTACTTTTATAAATAATTGAAACGGTTCGCACCACTTATATTTTGTATTTTGAGTAAAAAAAAATGCTTTTAGCGGCTCTAACCAGAAGTAAGCCCAGGACCGAATACGTCACATATCGCGCGCTTTAGGCACCGCCGGTCGCCCTTGTAGGTGGAGGAGGTTTCCGCGTTGTCCGGTTAAAATATGATGCACTGATATCCAGTGCCCGCTGGGTTGCCCGAACCTCAAGAAACGTGGAAACCGCAAAAAAGGTAGATGCTTAAATATGATTGCAAGGCCCCTTCAAACGGGCCCTGCAATCATATGTCAGCGTCTACCTTTTTTGCGGTTTCCACGTCTCCTGAGGTTCGGGCAACAAAGCGAGCACAGAGAGAATAACTAAATATCAGTGCATCATATTTTAAACGGACTACGCGGAAACCTCCTCCACCTACAAGGGTGCCCCGCAGTGCCTAAAGCGCACAATATGTGACGTCTTTGGTCCTGGACTTCCTACTGGTCAAAGTCGCTAAAAGCTTATTTTTAGTCGAAATACAAAATATATGTGGCGCGAACCATTTCAATTATTTATAAAAGTAGTTTGTGTTCAGTATTTTAGATCAGAAAAAAAAAAAAATGCAGTTTAGAAAGTATGAAAACACGAGATGACCCATCGACATACCCGCCACCAAGCGGTGGAAAAGGCGGCGCATACTAGAAAAGTGTAGTGGGATCAGGCACCAACGAGCAAGGAGCGTAGAAAGGTCCCGGATGTATGCAGCAGCACTGCGGTCGTATGGACTGGAAGATCCGACCAGTTCCGAGCGTTCCCAAGGCCTTCCGCAAACAGCTTTGGCTTGCAGTTTGACCTTTTGGTAGTATGGCAGCATCTGATCAGCATATTGCAACTAGGTAACAGAATGTAAAACCTGTGCAAACGAGGTTGAGAAGCCATTTAAAAGACCGCTTGGCACATGAAGGTTCCCGGTTTTGCCACAAAATGGTGTGGGCAAGCTAGGAAAACTTGTTGTCACATTCAAACTCACTTTGTCTCGAACAGTACACGGTGCCTATACTCCGCGACAACTTTTCTTGGCAATGCAGTGGAAGGTACAGGCATGCGTTCCCTCTCTCATATTGAGTGCAGTAAAGCTGTGCGCGAGCTCTCCTCCTCTTCCCACTTCCGGGGAGAGGAGAGCCCGCGCACACTCAAAATGGGAGAGGGAACGCAGGCCTGTACCTTCCACTGCATTGCCAAGAAAAGTTGTCACGGAGTATAGTCGACAGGCTGTGACGTCACCTTAGATTGCTTTGGCAGAGCGCTATGGATGGCATCGAACGAGCATAACAGCCCTAACAGTGTCATACCTTGAGGTTGATTGTGTTAACACTGTCGAATGCCTCCTCAGTCATGTCAAGGAGAAAGCTGTCTCGGGTGATCCCGGCACAGTTTACGACGACGCTGACAGGGACGGAGTAAAGCTTCTTGATGTCCCCGAACAAGGTCTGCACGGAATCTGAGGAGCCTACGTCGACCTCCAGTGCATGATGTTCGTGTGCACCTGAAAATAAATACATGAACACTGTTCGAAATAGTGTTAAACTATTAACGGTATATTTAGAGGTGTGTTCAAACCAACATATGAAACTTGATCCACTTCATTCGCATGGCAAAAACGGCTGCCAGGTATGATTTGTAAGCAGTGATAGGAACTCAGAGGAACTAATCGAGGGTATTTCTCCCCTGCATGGGAGCTCGTGCACGTTAATGCTTTTGGACCATCAAGGATTTATATTATTCTTTAGATAGCGTGTTGTTGCTAGAAAGGGTTAGAAAGCTTTTAGAAAAAAATTTAGTCTCTTTTCAGGCCAAAGCGGGTATCTTGGTAGATGCAATACTGGAGCTTCTGACGTGCTATCTGAAGGCAACTGTGCTTAACTTTAATGGTGACTGTTATATACAGCGGAAAGGTGTTTGCATTGGTTCGGCGGCGGCTCCCGTGTTGACTGAGTTTTATCTGAACACTCTTGACAAGAAAATAACAGATTTTGTTGGCTCTTTGGGTGGTGAAAGGATTGTGGTTTGGAGGTTTCTTGATGACATCTTGGTTTGTGCTCCGAATCAGCTTTCTGCTACTGAGATCCATGACTTTATTTTGACCGCTGCACCGGAATTGAAATTCACCTCCGAGTCAGTCAAAGACAGGAAGTTAAAGTTTTCGGACTTGCAACTATTTAATAAAAAGGGGCTTTGCTGGTCTTAAGGGAGGGAAACTGTCAAAAGGGTTCTTTCTAGATGGAGTGGTCATCCTAAACTTGTTGAAGGGGAGGTAGCGAGATCTTTAATTGGCAGTGTACTGAAGAAATCTTGTTTTCATTGTGTTGGTAACGCTTTCGGCGTTCAAATCAAACGTTTACTGTCGGCGGGTTATAGTTTAGATTTTATCGTTTCTAGTGCACGTAGACTGCTTGTACGCGCATCGGTGACCGCTGAGAGGGTTCAAGGTGGAACCTTTGCTGTGATTCCTTATTTTCATGGTTTTTCTCATAGCCTAGAAGCCTTGGGTGCAAAATTTAACTTCAATCTGGTTTTCAAGACGGACTTTCGTTTAGACAAACTCACCCCGTTCACCTTCAGACGTGAGGGATGTTGCGGGAAAAACCACAGAGATCCCTCAGTCTCCTGTGTCGCAGAGGCGGTCTACAAGATCCCCTTTGACTGCGGATTGCGTTATGTTCGTCAGACAGGGCCTTGTTTGAATGTCCGTCTTACGGAAGATAAAAGGTGTGTAAAAAATATGGCGCAGAGTTCTGAGTTGGCAAATCATATTAGTTCTTGTAATATTCGTTCCCCTCTTTGGGAGGAAACTTCCGTTCTGTGTAACGAAAAAGAATTGTTTAGAAGGCTAATTAAGGAGACCCTGTGCATTCACGAGCGGGGGAATTGTGTGAGCCAGCCGTCCTTGGTTATCAGTGATCAGATGAAAGAGTTTTTGCTTTTGTGAGGGGGGCTTTGTAAACTTGAAGGGAGGGAACGGGGGGGAGAAAACCGGGAAGCGTTTGCTTGGAAGTAGGAAATGGGGATTAGGCTTTAGCGTTTTGGAAGTCGCCTTGTGTGTTGACCTTGGGGCTGTTGTTGCTCGGATGGTCGGCTACCTTTCCGAAAGTGTTGGAGCCGGGGAGTGGCTCAGGCTGTCTGGGGCGAACTTGTTGCCGTCTTGTTTATGCGTTTCAGTTCTTTTTTGCCCTTTCTCTTTTCTTTTGTCTGAAAGTCTATTTATTGGTATGCTCATATCAATAAAATTCAGCTGCGTTTGAGATTTTGTTGTGTTTGTCCGTTTTTTTATTGTTCCCATCTCAGGTTTACAAGATGTCAGGTATGATGTTTTTAGTCTTCGTTGGTCTTCGTTAAAAGTTGTTTCCAGAAAAAATATGAAAACTTCAAGACCTTACATACAATAGAAAGCACTCATAAACGACCAAACGTCATCGACATCATATACAGGCAACCTTGTTCTGCCTTGTGCATGTCTGCAAACTTAACTTATTTGAATGATGCTTGTCTGCAGTCATATCTTCGGTACTTTTTAACCATAAACATTTACACTCCGAAAGTGCCATTAGTGCATGAGCTGTGGTTTTTGTTGTTTCATGTACTGTCATTTTCTCTCAGCTCACAAACCGTGAATTGGACTCCTAAATTCTCTACAATAAACAGGATGACAAGGTTTTCCCCGCGTCGCTCATGTTGAATCATCAAGGGAAGATTCTGCAAGCTTTACGGACGTTTTCTATCTAAAGCTTAGCAGCGTCCGAGATAGAATTTTCGGGCTTTTATTTCTGATTAGACGGCGAAGACTTTTTGGAAGTTGTGCGTGGACGCGGACATAAATGCAGCTAATGACCCCAGTGAACTCAACGTACGACTGTTAATCTGGGATCAGTAACGGTCGTCACGCAGCAGTGATTAAGCAGCCGAGATGGTCATGTAAACCTTACAGCCTGGATTGAAGAGGGTCCATCTCAAAGCATGGGGAGCGTTTGCGAGTTAATGGCGGACACCTCCTGCGGCGATCGGTCTCGAGTGCGTATGCGCTGCGTTGTCGCGTGGCAATGAGGAAAGCAGGAGAAAAGGCGGAGACGTTTTCAGACGATCAACGCTTTCATCACCTTCTCGCAGCTCGCATTGCGAATGCGGCCCATAAATCACGTGACCCCAATCAAGCAGTTCTAAACTCTCAGTAATACAAGCTCTCTACTCGTCGTAAACAGTTACAGGCAGTCATGCTTAAACGCCAATGTCCAGTAGCCTAAGCACTCGGCCGCCGATTCCCCAGGCGTTTCGAGTCGTGAGACGCAAAGAGCTCCGATTACGGGATGTTTTCAATCCGTCGAGCGCAATGCGCCAAGCATACCTACTAGGGATGCCGCGAACCACCCTAGGTTCGAATTCGAAATGTTTCGATATTTTCTAACCGAACTGATGTTCGATTTCGAAAATTTTCTATATTTTCGACCGTAGGGAGGTTCGAATTCGAAATATTCGCAACTTTCCAAAATCGTGGGGTTTCGAATTCGAAAAGTTCGAAGCTTTCACGGTTTCGAAAAGTTCGGGTTTGATTATTTCGAATATTTGTTTACTTGAGGTTCAATAAAATTCGAAAATTTCGAACTTTTCAAATTAGAAATTCGATAGATTCGAATGTTTCGAATTTCTTTGGATCTAAAATTCGAAAAATTCGAACGTTTCGAATTTTTAAAAACATAAAGTTTGTTAAATTCGAAGATTTCGAATTTCTTTATACATAAAGTTCGAAAAGTTCGAAGGTTTCGATTCTCTTTTATGCTAAATTAAAAAAAAAAAAAAAAAAAGAACTTCGAAGGTTTTCGATTTTTTTGAAGTCCAAGTGCACAAAGTTCGAAGTTCGGTTTTCATGTTCCGCCACAGTTTCAGTTTCAAATAATGTTTTCTCGCCTCACTGGTTTTCACGAAATCAGGTTTAGAAAAGTTCGGGTGTGATATTTAGACTGCGCAAAGCTGGTCAGGCAATTAAATAAGACAATGAGTGCCCCGGATGTGCTGGAATATTTACCAGTGCAGTGACGTGTAACAATAGATCAGTAATTGTGACCGCCAGCCCGGGGTGGTCATTAACGTGCATTACGAAGTAGTAACCCTCCGAACGCACTGTTTAACGATAATCATCCAGTTCGAAACGGCCACGGGCAGCCAGGCGGTTGAGGTTCAGAAAAACCTTGAAGTGATCTGGCAAACTGCCCCCCTACCCACTTGCACGCTGGTAGTAATCCGATTGAACGCCGCCCAAGTGACGCTGGCATGTAGTAAGTTTAGTCTGTACATGATGCAAAATCCTGAGACTGGGAATGAAATTTGAAAGAAAAAGTGTAAGAAGACTGAAAAAAGGGGACAGGACAACGTCTCAAACTCAACTCAGCTGAAAACTCAGCTCAGGACAACGTCTCAAACTCAACTCAGCTGAGTTTGAGCATTGTCCTGTCCCCCTTTTTTTTTTTCTTTCTTCTTACACTATTTCTTGCGAATTTCATTCCCAGTCTCGGGATTTTGCATCATAATCAACATACACCAGGCCGCCTGCACCTTGACCATTTTTTTGTTTGTAATTGCTTTGGAGGTTTGTTTTCTGGGGCGGAAGAAACGCCGAGCAAAAAGCACAGAAGCTGACGCAACTTGAGGTCGAGGAGCGTTCTACCATACCAGTGGCGTCGGAAGAGGAAAAACGGGGGGGGGGGGGGGGGGGGGGGGACTCCAGTCTTTCCCCCCCCCCTCCCAGATATTTCGGACTGTTAAAGAAAACAATACGGGGAAAGAGGGCATGGTCGAGCTTATTTTAATCTGAAATTATTTATGCATATGTATAGCTACTGTCGCTCTTCACTGCATAAAAGATCGCGTAGATGGTCATTGTTAAAGGAGTCATGAAACGCTTTTTCAACTTTTTTCTGTTTAGCTTTCCTCCTCAACTCATAAATCGCGCATTGTACAAAACAGTTCAAGAAGTCGGAAAGGGGGGAGTCCCCTCTTTCGGACTTTCCACCCCTCTAGCCGGACACAGCCATTGTCCCCCTAGAAGATTAGCCCGTCGCTCAAAATTCCGACTAGTTGCTTTCCCCACCCCGTTCACCCCGAAGCTGACAGTGCTGTGGAAGCTACGTGCTCGTTGGGCCAGCCACACATTTTCCACGTGATCATGCTCTCTCGCGCCTACCGACCCGCAGAAAATGAGGTCAGGTGATGAAAGGGAGACGGCTGATTGGTCCGGCAAGCGCGTAGCTTCCACCGCAATGTCAGCTTAGGGGTAAAGGGATTAAGTGAGGTCAGGTGTCGTGTGACGTGTGCTTGGGCCCTGGTGACGCGCTGCGGGGGCCCGGTTATGGTGGCTAGTAGCCTGGTGACGCGCTGCGGGGTCCGCGGATGTATCACAGTGAAAAGGCGGAGAGTTTACGAAGGGAAGGAGGTACGAAATAGTCCGCTATGTTTTGCAAATTTTCGTAGCGAAAGTCAGGCTTCTGACTTTCTACCTTTGTTCTTTTGGCCCACTGAACGATGTGCTATTAGTAAAATCCCAATATAGATTGATTTGCTCCAGCCCAAAATTCGTTTCATGGGTCCTTTAAGGCTGGTTCTCACATGCAGCGAAGCGCTGATGTAACGCTGCTCACGTGCCGTCAGGTACTTATCGTATGCCATGAGCAACAGTTTTGACGGCGCGATACAAAGCTGGTGAAAGCTCCCGTCGGCACGTATTTAGCACGAGGTCAGCGCTATGCTTGTTGCGCTCCACTGCATGTGTGAACAGGCCTTTAGAGACTCGTTTTCAGGAGGCACTACTCACCACATGCTCGGTGGCTCGAAAGTTCAAAGCTATGTCTTTTCGACCTAAATAACTGTGCCATTGGTAAAAAATAATCAATAAATAAACACAACAATGAATGCAAAAATAAAAAAGCTGGAGAAAAAAAAAGCTATCAAGAACCCGCCGGAACTATGAAACAAGTTTCTCCTACCAAAATGTGTACAGGCCAAAAGAAACACGTCCCAAGAGCGTAAAATGAGAAGAAAAAAAATATTTTTTTTTATGACGTGCTGAACTTGAACAATTTTAGAAATCTTCCCCCCTGAGTTAATTTATTCCTCCCAACGTGAAAAAAACAATAAATACATTATTTTGTATTCTGCAGATGGTAATGATATGTATTGTCTTTGGTGTTAATTTAAATGCGATACCCAAACAATGTAGGCGAAAAAAATTACGAAGTTTAGGGCACAATTGTCCGTAAGTACATGTTTGGATATTTATTCGAAACTCGTCTTGAACAACAATAATCATATCTTAAGACGACACTCACCTAAGCTATATATAGATCATTCTTAAAAAGTATAACATCTCTACCATAAATAGCTTCGGCTAGGGTGCCTCAATGTCCTTATGTTTAGGGTGATGCCATCGTTTGTAGTACCCGATGCCGACAGCGCGCGCTCACAGGCAAAATACAAAGAAATCGAGGAAACAAAATGTCGCCGTAGCACAGTCAGCGCCACGAGCACGTGCAGGGACACGCTCTTTCACGCGCTTCAGAATAAAAAATAAAAATAAGCATTCGAAACAAAATGGCCAGATGTCATCACCCCAAGCAAAGCGCACGTAAAGGCACCCTAGATTCGGCTATAGCGCGCTTCAAACATGGCACACATGACAATTGTCAAAAATCCGTCGTCCTTCCTCGCTCCTTCGGGAATCTTTTTCTCTAAAACCAAGCATGCCAGATGATTGAAATGAACGGCATTGTCTTTCGCAAGGAATGCTTGTGTGTGTAAAAATATGTAAAATTGCGAAAAAAAAAAAAAAATTACGAATGTACCTCACTGCGTGAATTCAAATGAAACCGCCCGCCGGCCTTTCGAAGTTCGACGAGCTTCGAACTTTTACCCTAAGAGTTCGAAGTTTGTCGAACTTTTGACTTTTCAGGAATCGAGAGTTCGACAATTTTCGATTTCTTTAGATTAATAAGTTCGAAAGTTCGAAAATTATCGAATTTCTTAGCGTAGGAAGTTCGAAAGTTCGAAATGCTTCGAACTTTTTAGTGCAAGAAGGTCGAAAGTTCGAAAATCATGGAATTTTTTAGTCTATCAAGTTCGAAAGTTCGACAAGCATCGAATTTTGCAGCGTAATAAGGTCGAAAATTCGAAAAGCGTCGAACTTCCTAGTTTAATAAATTCGAAAATTCGACTTCCGTCGAATTTCTCAATATGGAAAGTTCGAAAATTCGAAATCTTTCGATCCGTTCGAACCGCTTGAATTGATCATCGAAACTTCGATTCGAAAAAGTTCGCGGCATCCCTAATACCTACAAACTTGTCACGAGAAGTATGCAAGACGGCAAGGATTTTAACATAGGCGGGTTGTGTTTTCCCGCTACCGGAGATCGCCCCACATCTCACCGGGGAGATCTTGGATGGTTGTCGCGGCGCCTTGTTTGTTTTTGTCGGCGGCGACGATGCGAGCTCCTTCCTGGGACAGTGCCTTGCAGACCGCCCTTCCAATGCCGCTGCCGCCACCGGTGACCAGCGCAAGGCGTCCGGCCAGCGAGATACCCGCCGAAGTGCTGCCAGCCATCACTTCTAACTTCTAACTTGTAACACGCTTCTCGGGGAAAGGGCCGTGGATGTGACAGTAGCAGGCTGCAGTGTCCTTTTTCGAAGGATCGCACAGCTCGTCGACCACTCTTCGCAGATGGGACAAGATTCAACGGTGACCAGAAGATAAGGGCGACAAAACTTCCTCCTACCCTTTACCAAAGTTCATGAATTGAATTGGATTGGATTGGATTCTCCTATGCCGCCAAGCCAACCTACCCAGTGTTTGCGGCATGGGAGCAGGCTCATCGCTGTTTTTGGAGAATAAAAAATCTCTCTGTTTCGGTTTCGTTAAAAAATGTTGAAATGTATTTGCAATGTCTGTTTTTTGCTCGCCTAAAAATAGCGAATGTTTTGGAAGGAATAAACAGGTGTCTAAATCTCCACAAAAATAAACTATGCATCGCCGGACGCTCAGTCTCCGCCCGAATGTAAAGCTGGAGGCGCTGGAGGACTTACGAGCAGACTCCAAAGAAAGTTTCAAAACTTACCGGCATCTGTTTGAAACGTTTTAAAACCGATTTTCAGAAATGTTTGGTGCAAAAATGGAGGAAAAGCAAATCTGCGATTGTATGGACTTAAAGGGACACTGACACCCCCAAAAACATTAGTTTTCTTATTTTTTGCCAGACGATCCATTATGGTGTCAGAAGGCTACCCAATCGATAGTTTGCTACAGCTAGGGTGGCTAGAGAGTTGGGTGTGTCGAGCGCGCCGGCTCTCCCATGCATCGCCGCGGCCGGTTTAGAAAATCACCGTCAGGGGCGCTCTACTCAGCGTGTATGCAGAGCCGTATATTGGGAGAGTTTGGCCATTCATTGGTATCAATGGGGCGAAAATCTATTGGTCGAATAGTTGATTGACAGGCCGCTCGTGACCAATCACAAGCCGCAAAACCTCCCCTAGCGGTGGTCGTGAGCCTCAAAAGTAAAGCAGGGTTCGGTAATTTCATTTTAGCGTCGCTAGAGTTAAAAAAGTTAACGCTCGGTGACTGAAAACTTGGTGCATGTGAGCTTTTCGTCATAGCCTTCTTTAATGATAGAATAAACGAATGCGCACGCGGACACGTGCGTTGAAATAACGTAAACAAAAGTTTGTGTAGCCGCGGGAGTTCCGCCGTTCCGTTCTTGTTTGATGAATGGGTCGTTGTTGTGCTCTGAAGTGCCAGAACAGAGCTTCCAGGGGAATTCGCTTGTTCAAGCTGCCGAAATCCCCGAGGAGACGGAAACTGTGGCTTTCAGGAATCAGGCGTGGCGCGGGGTGGAAACCTCCCGACAGAACGTACCTTTGCGAGGTGAGGTATTGTTCATTGTTAATATTGTGACGCGAGCACGGTGGACGCGAGTGCACTGTGACGAAACCGTGTATTTTGTGATCTATTCTCTACTGCCGTGGAAGCGTCCTGTGCGCTTTCGCTTCACCGCAGAAAGACGAGTGGTTCAGGCCTGTGGCGGTCGTGCGATGATGGATTTGTAAGATCGCGTATTTTGAAAGCGTGAGCCTCTCGTCAGCGGAATAACTGTACTGTGACGCGAGCGACTGAATACACAGTTTTGACGTCTACCAAAACGTTATTCGCTGCAGGACCACTTCGAGCCCTCCCAGTTCCAGACGAGGTGCTCTGACGGCTGGAGGAGGCTAAAAGCCACAGCTGTTCCGAGCTTGTTTCTGCATTCTGAAAGTCAAGTGAGTGTGTGTAACGAGGTTAAGTGAGATTTTTGTTCTTTTGGTATTTACCTAGATTATGAGAGTGAATTAAAAGCAATAATTTATCTTGTGTTAAGATGTTTTTACTGATATGATTTGAAAGAGGCACAGGTGACCTATAATAATGTGGACTTGGTAGGCTGTTGACATCTCTGTTCCATGTCAGAGACCTTTTCTTTTTTTTTAAAATCGGAGTGGTCCTTGTGCAAGAGTGCATGAGACACCATCATTCAGTGTTGCAGCCTGACACAGCACAAAACCCCGCCTCATGGAAATGTAAGTCAAAACCCAATAACTCATATTCTGTTGCTTCTATTAAGTTAATGCATGAGGCATTCATCACTCTCAGCTGCCTTGTAATGTTATGACAGCCTCACCAGCTAAGTATCTGTCATGGTTCTTGCATGGCTTGGAGTGATCTCATGAGGTGGGCAACACCCAGTGGACCATTTGCAGAATTAGTGGTTCGAGAGTGCATGGCTAAAAGACGAGAGTTCCCTGGCCGCAGGCACGTCCACTGCGTCCCGTTGGCTTATTGTGTCGCATTGACTTAGATAGAGCTCCCCCAAAACCACTTTTGTCCCCCTTGAGGATTATCTTTCACCCCGAGGTAAATACAAAGAAGCCTTCGTCCCTCTCCGCTCGGCCAGCATGAAGATAGAAAGGGCGACAAATCCATTTATTCTCGAACCCATATTTCTGCAAAACGAGGATTCTCGTGCCGTGTTTGCAGCAACCAGCGGCCAGGACCTCCGGAGCGACCCTGCAGGTCGGCCTGCTGACGCAGCCGCTCCCCACCACCAGTGGGGCGTGCTTCGTAAGCATCTTCCAGGGTCCTGCGTACCCCCGTGTAGCAATACCACCACGCTCTTCGCCGCAGGTGACCAGTGACAACCAGCGCGGCCAGGCCAGCTCAGCTGCCCGCGGCACCTTGGTGTCGGCAGACACCATCAGCTGGGTATGTGGTTCTTGCACGGCTTGGAGTGATCTTGTGAGGTGGGAATCGCCCGATTCTCGTACCGTGTTTGTAGCAACCAGCAGCCAGGACCTCTGGAGCGGCCCTGCAGGGCGGCCTGCTAACGCAGCCGCTCCCCACCACCAGCGGGGCGTGCTTCGTAAGCATCTTCCAGGGTCCTGCGTACCCCCGTGTAGCAATACCACCGCACCCTTCGCTGCAGGTGACCAGTGACAACCAGCGCGGCCAGGCCAGCGCAGCTGCCCTCGGCACCTTGGTGTCGGCGGCCTCCACCAGCTGGGTATGTGTCATGGTTCTTGCACTGCTTGGAGTGATCTCATGAGGTGGGCGACACCCAATTCTTGTACCGTGTTTGTGGCAACCAGCGGCCAAGACCTCTAAGCGAACCCTACAGCCTCTTTCTCCATCACCCGTTTCACCTAGGCTCACTGAAGATGTCTTTCTTCAGATGAGCCGGAAGATCAAGCAGCTGGAGAACGAGAATCATCGCTTGGTGAGGCAGGCTGCCTTACAAAAGACAAGGGAAGCGACATTCTGGTCTCACTTGCACGAGTTCTTCACTGTGGACCAACTGGCAGCTCTATCGAGATCCAGCAACAGGGGGTCCAAGTGGTCTAATGAGACGGTGAAGAAGTCGCTGCAGATGCGATCTGCATGTGGCAGCTTGGGCTACGACTTGCTACTGGAGGGGAGCTTCCCATTGCCGTCGTCTAGAACTCTAGGGCGGCGGCTTGAAGGCAAGTTTGTTGTCAGGCTACTCAAATGCTTCAAAGCTCCCTGTTGATTATTTGCAGGTATAATATCCTTGTTAGTAACTGTAGTGTTTTTGTATTTTACACAATTTATTTTTAAATGATAAGTTGGTGTCATGGTTCCTTTTTCACTTAGTTGCAGTGTGGTATGAAGGGGTAGATTATTGATATTGTGTTGGAATGATTCTCTCATCGCAGGCATACAGCACTAGTTTGACCTCAGTATCTTGCACTCGTCGAGATGTGAATTCAAGTTTAGAGGGGGAGTGTTTCCTTCACTCCCAATTTTTGTAACCTTGCTGATGCGACCATGGAGGTAATTATGCTGACGGTGTCTAGGAGAGCACCCTGTGGTGATGATGGTCGAATGAGGCTTATGGATTCCATACGAGCACTGCATGAACACTTGACTTGGGTTCGTGACAATAAGTGCCTCGGCAAACATTTGGGCAGCTCATGACTAATCTCTGCACACGAATGGCCAAAATTAAACATTGTTTACAGCTCAGCACATGCTGCACATGTTGCCATCCCCAGCCTATGGCTATACACAGTTCTCACGTGACGTCATTCTAGTCACCATTCCCAGGTACTAAGCGTCCCATTAATGTAGTGGAAGGTAGGTCTAATCTGCACCCCGTAATTGGCGCGGCCCTACTAGAATAAAACATCATCTCACCTACCAATCGTGTGTGTCCTGTGTCCTGTGATGTCGAGATCGCTCTAGCGCTCTTATCAGTTGCCCTTGGGACTCGCGATGAGTTGGCTGCGTGCCGTTCATTCGGTGATGTGCACACTTTCTAAGTGCTGGCAAAGTCGCGATTGCAGCGAGTTAGCGCAGTTGAGTGCGCTTCTTAACGAGCACCGGTGTGCTGTGCAGAAGCGACACTTACAGAGAAAACACCGTGATTGTGCGTATTTCGCAGGCACTGCGATTGTGCATTGAGTGGAAGGCACACCTCCAGAGAAGAAGAGGTCACGCGCGTGTGCGACGAATTCAGGAAAACATTGTAATGTAGCGTAATGATTGTTCATGTTCCTGGTCAATATAAGTGCTTACCTCAAGGCCCAAAAAAAAAAAAACTGGCTTTTACCATGAATATGTGTTACTCTACAATTGAGGTCCCGTCAAGCAGTGTGCATCATTGCTCATCATTTCTTTAGTCTAAGATTTAAAACGAATATTTGGGTATAGCAAGAGGACTGACAAATCTCTCATCTACTTACAATCTCTATGTAGAGCTTGATTTATTTGAAGCGAGAGTCATTCAGTAATTTAGATCAGAATTAACTGAGCCTTGGCAGTGGGTAGGCAGATACTTGAGAATAACCTAAATGAAACCAGCTAGATTTTCCTTTACAAAGTATAATCATTGCTCACATGCTGAGTTTGTGCACTAGAAAGCTATCTCTACAGGAAAAAGGCTGTTGACAAGGAGAACTAAATGACAAGCTTCATTTGTTGCTTCGATTAGCAACTGCAGAATTTACGCACATCCTTGAGAACGTGAACAAAACATACTCAAAATTACTCTTGTCTAACCTCATTTCAGTGGATTACTGTGTGCCCCTTGATATTAGGTGTTTTAGGTATGATAGTCTTTATATCATATCTAAAATGACTTTTTATTCATACTCGTTCACACTCATCCATCACTCAAATACTATAATGTTTTGAAAAATGTGTACTAAGGTAAGAGTGCTAAGCTAAGTTAGCATGTAGCTTAGCTTGTTTGTAGCTAGCTAAGCTAGTTACACACGACTGGAAGCTAACTTAGGTTAGCTTCCATTAAGCTAAGCTACCTTCCGCCATCTTGACATCAACACTGTCAAGATGGCGGAAGCTGAGCGCAATGGCAGTATCAGAAAGGCACAGCAAGTATTCAATATGCGATTCGAAATTATTCGACCCAAGTCACTATTAGCTTCTTATTCGCTTGAAACATAAAATTCGTTATTCGCACGTGCCTGCTTAAGGGGAAACTAAAGCGGTTTTGTACCTTTAAAAAACACTTGCATCATCTTCATATGGCCTCCAGTATCACGAATATTAAAATTATTTGTCAATTTGAGGCCCGGAGTAGCCATCAAAGCATTTTGACCATAGCGCTGAAGCCCCGCCCTCCCGAGGTGTAAGAAGCTAGGAGGAAATTTCTGAGAGACAGCAGCGTCGCAACAAGGATCCTCGGAATCTCTGCAGCTATTGCAAGCTTATTTGAGTGGTCGACAAATTGTGTGCGATTCACCTCATGCTCACGATTTTCACTCGCCTGTTTGTTTTGCTGTAAGTTTAGTACACCTATAAACTTTCATAAAAGATTTAGCGGATGTTGGTCAGGCGTGAAAGATTGTAGCGGGAACTAGGCGTCTGTAGCAGATGACGCACCATTTCACGAGAAAAAAAAACGCTGCATTGGGCAAGGCTGGTCACATGTGCCGGAACACTGCACGAGAGATGGTGCTTGAGCTTCGGTGGCCAGGTGAAAGTTCTTGACGTGACATCATGCCGAGTGAATTTTTTAAATATTTCTTTGCGTTGGGTGATACTTCTTGAGCAAATAGTGCATATTCAACTTTGCAGGATACAAATACGGAAGAATTTACCTCTAACTCATTTTTTTTTGGAGAACCTCTTTAGCTTCCCTTAAAGTGTTTTCAACAAAATCAGTCAGTGGTTCACAAATCGGAGTCGGTGACACTTTTAGCAACGCACAGCTACCAAAGTAACCATGGAGTGTACTTTACTTCAGTGCTGGCATTCATCACCTTTGCTCATGAAGTGGAACTGCCAACTTTAACAGAGTGGCAAAAACTCGTAAAAAACCAGCAAAAACCATTCGTATGGACAACAATAATGGAAGTTAGCAGCCTTTTCTTCGTTTAGTGCCCATTCTGTTCTTTTATTGACTGAGGGGGAAGTTTCAAATCATTGATTCCTTCAGTCGAGTTTACCAAACATTGCATACACTTGATGATCTAAAGCAGTTCTGTGTTTGTAGGTGAGCACTGCCCTACGGGTCCTCAGTCACTCCACGGCCACTGCCCTGCGCTTCCTGGTGGAGAAACATGGCTGGAGCACCAACTTCCTCACCACGGCTTGGTTCTTGGAACAGGTCAACAAATGGTTTGATCTTATGAGCAGCAGGCACCCAGTCCTTGCGATCAGCAGGCAAAATGAGGCCTGCTACAAGAACACCCTTGACTTTTTGGTCAAATTTAAGGATCTTTTTCTCCACCTCACTATTGGGGATGGGGCGTTCAAGCCAGTGCAGGCGGGGGTAATCCTCTCTACCAAGTCCATTCTAGACCTGCAGCAAAGTCTCATTGAGGGACATTCTTTTTCATTTGTGCTCACATCCAGATTCACGCAGGACTGCCATGAAAACTTGTTTTCGGTAATGCGACAGGGCAACCCTATCCCAACTTCTTGGAGTTTAAGATGACCTTGAAAATCGTCACACACTCGCAGTACCTGAAGGCGTCCAAGGCAGGGTCCTACGAACTGGACGATGCCTCCTTCTACCTGGCTGACCTCGCAGACTTGGATGTACAACCTGCTGTGCCCACCGACATTTTTCTTGAGGAGGTAGAACTCACCATGTCACAACCTGAGGAGAATAGCTTTGACTATTACGCGGGTATGTGGTACGAAGAGTTGTAAAACATAATGCTACATGTGACACGTGTGCTGCGGCTGTTCAAGTCCCCATGGCACCTGCAAATAGCCTCCTCAGGCTAAAGAGTTATGTCCCTGACGCTCTGACCTGCCCCTCTGAAGCTGCACGCGCCCTCTTCACAATTTGTGAAAGTGTCTTTCGCAGCCTCATTGCGGATTTGATGCATGCACGGGGCATCCTGGACGGCCTATCGGCGAGGATGGCTGCAGAGAGCCAATGTGTTCAGCTGCCCGACCGCCATGAAATCAAAATGAAGCTCATCAGGCGATTCTGCCATGCACGGCTGCAACTGTTCCTGCGGGAAAAAAGTCGCGAGTTGGCGGCTGGGGTAGCTGAACGCAGGGACTTCGGCAGTCGATGGCAGGACCTCGGAAAACTAATTAGTGTTTTAGATTGCCTTAGTTGATGAAACTGTTGTCCCGTTCTCATTTTGTTTTTACTTTGCTTTCTTCTTTGTGTTAAGGGCAGCTTTCATTTTTTGCGTTCCTTGTTTACCGAGGCACTTCTGAATTTTTTTTACTCTTGCAACGGTTGTTTGTGCGAGGCCCTTTTTCTTGTGATCTCCATGTAAGCCTACGTGAAGCCTCTGCATTTTTTTTTATGCTTGCTACACATGTTTGTGGGAAGTTTCTTGTGCTGTGCTTGTAAATATCTGTGCTTTTTTTATGCTTGCTACGGGTCTGTGAGAAGCCCATTTTTTTGTGCTCTGCCTGAGGCCTCTGAATTTTTTTTACGCTTGCTATGGGTCTTTGTGGAACGCTTTTTTTCTTAGGCTCTGCCTGTAAACCTGTGTGACGCCTCTGAATTTTTTTTACGCTTACTAGAGATGTTTGTGGGAAGCTCTTTTTCTTATGCTCTATGTGCAAGCCTGCATGAAGCCTCTGGATTTTTTTCATGCTTGCTTCAGATGTTTGTGGGAATCCTTTCTTTTTCTTGTGCTCTGCGTGTAAGTTTGCGTGAAGCATCTAAATTTTTTTCACACTTTCTTCAGCTCTTTGTGGGAAGCTTGCTTTTTCTTATGCTCTGCATGTAAGCCTGAGTGAGGTCCCAGAATATTCTTTTACTTTTACGCTTGCTTCGGATGTTTGTGGGAAGCTTTTTTTTTTATTGTGCTCTGTGTGTATGGCTGCATGAAGCCTCTGAATTTTTTTACGCTTGCTACGGTTCTTTGTGGGGAGCAATTTTTCTTCTGCTCTACGTGTAGGCCTATGTGAAGCTTTCGCTGTCATGCAATCTTGCTCTTCTGTATCATGTTTTTTTTTCTTGTCCTCCTCCTTGTGCTATGCACTGCTTATGTTTCACTCATCCTTTTTTGCTTCATGTGGATGTTTGTAGCCTACACTTTCCTTCCTGGTGTCTTGCATGAAAGCCTATGCAGAGACTTCCTGCCCATGTTAGCTTGTCTTTTCCCCTGTCATTCTTCTGTTCACTTTGCTCGTGTCATTCGCACACCTCGAAATATGCACTCTCTCTGTATCCTCAAGTTTTTCACTTCTGCACTTGCTTAAGACATTTGCAAGCCATCCCTTTACTTTATGAGCTTTCCATGTGAGCCTTCACCGTGCAGCACCTTTACGCTTCTGGGAGCCTATGCTTTGCCTCCGACCCTTTTGGTTTATCCACTTGCCTATTTTAATTTTGCAGTTTCTGTGTTTTTTCTTGCAGAGGCACGAGACCCATGTCCCCTCCATGGTCATCGGTTGCAGCTTTTGGGTCTGTCTCATTTTATTTCATTGTAGTTGCAGACTTAATTATTGTCAGGTATCTGTGTGTTAGTTCGTTTGCAGTAGACCTAACTGCCGCCATTTCCTTTCCGTGAGTTAGTTTTTGTCGGACGCTCGTACTCAGTGTAACAGGTGCAAGGGCTGGGTTTTGTTGCTGTGTCCAGGATGTTGCAAGGAGACTGATGGCCAATGGACTTCTTCCAAAACCGACGCGCCCCATTGTGGCGAAATACCATGCAGTGCACTCTGGGAACTAGTTGGCCACTCAGTTTCGGTTTCGACTGAGCAGATTCATCTCATGCTATCACGCCGCGACCGAACGCACTGCTTGCGTTTTCGATTATCTGACTTTTTTACGAATGTACAATATACTCATTCTCGAGCGATACAAAACGAAGGCCGGGGCACTTTTTTTGGTACCCGAAACACCGGATATTTGAGTGCGTATGCAAACGTAGTAAGACGTGGCTTAGTCACCTTAACGAGTGCATCTTTGAGTTCAATTTCAATAATCCCGTCTAGTACCAGTGAAGTAGAACTGAAATTTGTTCACCTGGAGCCTTTCACCTATTTTGTTTGCCAAACGTCCGCTTCTTGTTACTTCATTGGGCAAAAAGCAAGCCGCATTCTCACAGGAGTATCAAAGTTGAGCCCAGCGTTGACGCGTAAACTTTTAAGGAAACACAATAAATTCGACCTCACTACTGCACCAAAGTTACTATGATGTCTTCCTCGTGTCATCATATATCTCCCACTCAAATTTTATGCTGATAGAAGATTAAGTTTTCGCAAACGCGGACAGGGGCTCCGGAAGCGGGGGGGCAGGGTGGGCTTGAGCCCCTCCTGTCCCCAAAACCGAGCTGCCGAGCCCCCCCTCCCCCTCCCTCTCTTTTTTTTTTTTTTTTTAGTTTGTGTGTTTGCAGGTTATCTGGTATGGGCCTTCGGCCTATCTGCTGTACCTCCGTCTCTCCTGAGCCGAAATAAATGACCCTTTATGCACGCTGACCTACCGCCCTCCTCACCTCCGCCAAGCACAAAAAGCACCGGGGCGACGGAGAGGCTTGCTTGAAAAGTCAAAGCCAAAAGAAAATGACAGGCAGGACTCATGAGCCTGATCGACAACCAGTTTAGAGCGAACTAAGAGGGGACAGCGAAATGAATGGATTCCGACAAGACGACGTCCGCGAGCGTTTGTCTGCTTCCCCCGTGTGGAAGCAAGAAGCCCAGAAGATGCATGATGCTTCTCTGGCCCGCAGACAAAACAGGCAGGCGGTACTACCGCGGCGCTTAAAGGCCATCATTAGGAGGGGGAGGGGGGGCTGGTGAGCTTGAGTGGGGATTCGGGAGTGCTTAGAAAAGGCAAGTCTACGAGCTCCCAAATTTGACAAGGCGCCTTCGATGGCGAAAGCTTTGCGCGCATGCGGCGTCGTGCCCGCAGGGTGGTGAGGTATTAGGCGACACTTGTTTACAAACTCAGGACAAGACAACACGAAGTCTCAAACAGCTCTTATCATTCAGCACCTTCCTTTTGTGATGCCCCCCAACTTGCATTGACGCCAGGAGTCCGAAGCGATCACGGTCGATGTACTTGACCCTGAGGTACATTCCGATGTATGCAATCTCTGCCTCCAGTTGAGACATCTGATGGCGCAACATTGCTGTGTATGAGACTTTGTGTTGTGTTGTCCTTTTTTTCCCCCCGAGTCTCGGGGTTTTGTCGAAAACTTTTAACACTTGTTTGTCTACGTCTGCGTTAATACATCATGCTTCCCCGAGAATCCCTAAATGAAGGGACGTTTTCATTTTTAGACATAGCCAATTTGGCATAGGCACAGCTGCAGTTGATATGTAAAAGTTGGTATAGGAAAGAAAAATTAAAGAACACATGGTGCGGCTGATATCAGTGGTTATCCAGTCATTTTATGAGTTGTCAGTGCAAGCTTCTTACTGTTATTTTACTGAACCATCGTTTTACTTTGTTTTCCATGGATATGTGCGTGAATATGCGAACACGCTGCATTAATATGTTTTCATTCCAATATGGCAATTAATGTCAACCTGAAACCGACCTAACCTTAAGGATTTCGGAGATGTCGAGCCCCCCCTCCAAAGAAAGACTTCCGGAGCCTCTGAACGCGGAGATGGGCTAGCTACGACGGAGGCCCTAACAAGCGTCCCCTACTCCTCGCTAAGCCTTTTTGGACGAGCTTTTACTGACGCCCAAGATCTGTGCCTGAACGGTGTGTCCGAAATTATCGCGGCATACTCAGGCAGGAAGAAAGCTGACACATGACAAATATTATGGCCATTAGCAACCGTCAAATGCACTTTGAATAATTTCGTTCGTTTGGCGCACCGCATAGGGGTTCATACCCGTCCGGCGTACTTCTGGCGAATGGTGCAACATTTTTCACACAAGTGCTCGACTTTTGCTTTCTTAAAACGGTTTGTATGCGCGAATGTGCCTATACGATTGCAGGACAACGTTACGTGCATACGCGATGTTGAATATTAGTAAAATGCAAGTGGGTGGGGACTTCGCTTCGTGCAGCGCTGCGGGTCAGTACAGATAAGAGATAAGAAGTGTGTTATAATTGAGCTTTTCAATGGCACCTCCGAGTTTTACTTCGCGTACACAGGCGTATTAAGAAAACAGTAATTGCAAAAAGTAATATTTCTTCTATGGACGCACGAAACGAACAAACTTCCTGATCAACAACATATAATGTAAAGGCGCGAGCTCGATGTATGCATACTTATTGGTTGCTACAGCCTGTTGATTCGTACATAAACAAGATCCCCGCGCTTCGCAGCGTCGAGATTCCCAGCACTGGCTCGTCCAGATACCTCGAAACGCTAACAAAAAGGCTCAAGTACAAAAATAGAACAAGCATGTGTTAAGAGAAGCTATATACGTCTCGGGCTTGTGCTAAAGCTTCGAGGTCTGGCCATTTAGGTTAGTTTATAGACCGCAAATGACGCTCTCGGGACCAGAAAACATGAAATAATGGCCGTTTATAGTCCACGCTCTGTGTGTAATCTCTGGTCGACGTGTCGATCGAAACCGAAACCATGCCACTCTCCTCCCTGGCCAACTAGTTCCCAGAGTGCAACGCGCGCCGTGTTGCATGCAGGGCTTTATGGAAGTAGTCTATTGTGTGCATGCATCAAGAATAGTTGTGTGTCAGAAGTTCCTTTATTTCCTTGTTTTTTGACTCCATACAGACCAATGTTGAAATTGTTGGTGGCTGCTTCATCCATGGAGTGCAAGGATCATACCTATTTGTTTATTAGGGAATAATTGACATGGCCGTGTCATACATATTCGTTACATGGTCACTGGAAAGTGTGGGAAAAGAGAGAAAGCCCATGGCCGTTGCACAGGGAAGCCCCCAGAAACACTGACCCCTGGTGGTGGCCTGATCCAACACTTTGCCGCACAAGCTAAAGGTTCATCTTGGTTGGTGTCCCCCGTGCCTGAGTGGGGCATCCTTGCACTGCTTAAAATGCCTGCTCAGTTCCTGGTCCATAGCCTGTTTTTTTCACTTGTTAACTGCCAATCAAGTTAGTGCCCAGTGGTAATATCATCATCTGACTAGAAATGAGTTGAGTTAAAGCGTCTCGGGCACAACTGGTCCAGGTGCTGCTTCATTGTGCCATGGTGGATTTTACCAAAGTCATGCAGTTTTCGACAACCTGGAAGATGATCTTGGTCCCCATTGTTCTACAGCTCCCATGTTAGAGCGCAGCTCTTAGGGGCCCGTTTCCGGCTTGAGCGGCGCTGCCGTCGCCGTCGGCGTAACCGCGCGGTGCATCATGGGAAATGTCCCATAATGCACCGCGCGAGCCCCCCCACCGGGGTCACGTGACCTCGTGGGGGGTCACGTGACTCCCCTGAGGTCACGTGACCCCCTCCTCAAGGTCACGTGACCCCCTCCTCGAGGTCACGTGACCCCCCAAGGTCACGTGACCCCCGCCGATGTCGCGTGACCCCCCGATGACGTCATCGTCACTGATGACGTCACCGGCATCCACATCGTCATCGTCATCATCACTGATGACGTCACCAGCATCCACATCGTCATCGTCATCATCACTGATGACGTCGCCGGCATCCACATCGTCATCGTCATCATCACTGATGACGTCACCGGCATCCACATCGTCATCGTCATCATTACTGATGACGTCACCGGCATCCACATCGTCATCGTCATCATCACTGATGACGTCACCGGCATCCCCATCGTCATCGTCATCATCACTGATGACGTCACCGGCATCGTCATCGTCATCATCACTGATGACGTCACCGGCATCCACATCGTCATCGTCATCATCACTGATGACGTCACCGGCATCCGCATCGTCATCGTCATCATCACTGATGACGTCACCGGCATCCCCATCGTCATCGTCATCATCACTGATGTCACCGGCATCCACATCGTCATCGTCATCATCACTGATGACGTCACCGGCATCCACATTGTCATCGTCATCATCACTGATGACGTCACCGGCATCCACATCGTCATCGTCATCATCACTGACGACGTCACCGGCATCCGCATCGTCATCGTCATCATCACTGATGACGTCATCAGTGACGTCACTGATGTCGTCACCGGCATCCGCATCGTCATCGTCATCATCACTGATGACGTCATCAGCGACGTCACTGATGACGTCACCGACATTCGCATCGTCATCGTCATCATCACTGGTGAAGCCATCAGTGACGTCACTAATGACGTCATCGGTACCCGCATCGTCATCGTCACGGATGACGTCATCAGTGACGTCAGTGATGACATCATCGGCATTGGGGGTCACGTGACCCCCAAGATCACGTGACCCCCCCCCCCTGGTTAGTTTACCCCCCCCCCCCCCCCCCCCCGTGCCCTTCCCTCCTCCTCCTCAAGAGCTGCGCTCTAATTCGGCGTTACAGGGAGCTGTAAGCGGCTTTCATT